AGCTTTTCTGTATATTTTGGGCGAGGCTGAGAGGGTACAGGAAATCACTGAGACTGCATTTACATACACTGACTGGGTGTGTTGCTCACATCTTAAGGCACTGAAATAAGTTAAGAAAGCATAGTAACGAGAAAAGGATAAAATAGAGAATGAGCTACAGTGCTTAAGAAAAATAATTACAAGTTTGTTTGTTTTTTTTATAAAGGAGCAATTAACAAACAGAAAAAATATATTCTTGCTTGAGCTAGTTCTAGACTACTGTGAAGTAGGTGATTCTTGTTTTCTTGACATCCCCTCCATCTAGTATATCTTACCCAAGTATGATAACTATTCCAAAGATATTTACCCTTCCTAAATTCTAAAGACAAAAAGATTTCTGTGCACTCTTTCCTCTCTTTATTCTTTAAAAAAAAAAAGAGGATTCAATAACACTGGCCCAAAACTTACTTTGAATAACAATGGATTCCTACTATACCTAAAAAACCATGCTGTAAGATTTATACACAAATCTAGATTACTTATCCAAAAATCTATAAAATATGGATGTAAATTACTCAAAACTTCTGGCAAGTTAAATCAGTAGGGCTGAGACAGGTTTGACTGTCAAATCATGGTAAAATCTCTAAAAATATGGAACAAAAGATACTGATGTATACATGTGTATATGAACACTAAAAATATATATGTTGTATATGTCTACAGATCTAAGAATGCATTGAATCTAAAAGGTCTTTTCATAAATATAACCTTAAAGTTATTTTTGGATTTTCCAGAACAAATTTTAATGTTTATATTTCACAAATATAAGCACATTTATTGAAGAGTTAAGCTGGGATTGTCAACCTCAGCACTATTTACACTTAGGATAATTCTTCATTGTGGACCTGCCCCATGCACAGCAGGACAGTCACTGAACACCTGTATTTCACATACTAAATACCTTAGCAGCCTCCCTACCCCATTTGTGTCACTCACCAATGTAGCCAGGCATCACCAAATGTCTCAGAAGAGAATTGTAGCACTGTCCTCCCGTTTATCATTGACTTGCTTGAGTGGGCAACAGTAACGTTTCACAACAAATTGTGAGACTTGTTGTTACTGTTTTTGGCATATTGAATACGTCAGGGATAGCTTGCCAGGCTTTGCTGTGCGGGCGAGATACTCTTGGTAGCTTGCCAGGCTCTCTGAGTGGGGTGGAAGAATTGAACCTGGGTTGGCCACACGTAATGCAAACTCCCTATCCACTGTGCTATTGCTCCGGAAGAGAACAACAGAGTCAAATTAATTGCTTAAAATCTCGTAACTGGTCACCAGTGGTACTGATACCAAAGAAAGATTGTTTCTAAATCCTAGATTAGTACAGATGCCTTTTATAACAAGTTATGGATGGCTCTTTAAGAGAAAGCACTGGAACTGTCTCTCAGCTTTCTCAGTAAGATATATATTCTCAATATCTTTAACCACTGCTCAGTTTCTGAAATTTTTCCAAAGTCTGATTGCCCTTTCTGAATACAAATGAAAAACCAGCTACATACATAACATTGCCTCAAATAATAAAAGCGGGAGGGAAAAAAAACAAAAAACAAAAAGCAACCACAACCAGCATTTAATACATAGAATAGACAGTCAGGCTTTGATTTTAAGCATGTCATGTCAGCTATCTAAGTATGTCACATCAGCTATCTAATGCACTTTCAACATCTTCAATTGTCACATAAGATAAGAACTGTGTACATTTTACAGGAGAAAAAAAAAGATTACAGTTCAAACAGTTTAAAGTCAGGTTCCAGAGTCCCTCTTTTAAAACTTTATTTTGTGGGGCCATTACCCCACGGTAGTCAGGTTTTACTTCTGGCTCTGAGCTCAGAGATCACCTCTGGCGGGGCGCAGGGGACCATCGGGGATGATAAGGTTTGAACTGGGGTCAAGATCATGCAAGGTAAATGGCCTTCCTCCTATACTCTCTCTCTCTCTGGCCCCCTCCAGCGTGGAACCAATACCTTGTTGGTTCTAAATACTTTACCTCTACTGAGTGTTTTTCCTGCCTCCCAATTTTAACAAGTACCTCACCAAAGCACTGTTGATGTCACAGGCATCTAGCTCAGGGCTGATATAACCTCCTCATCATTCTTCTCTGGGTCTGACAAGACACACAACCCCTTAATCTACATCTACAGTTGTTCACCTTCAGTCAAGAACACATAGCAATTTGTGACTGTTTTAAAAGGCAGCAGCTACATCTACGGCAATGCTGAGATACCTGTCTAGTAGCTTAAAAATAAAATGAGGTCAATTAGAGACGACTGACGCCAGATGCCAGCCATTCCTTCTTCTACAAGTCTCACATAAACTCTCAATCTCAAGTTCTCAGAATCTCCCCAGTTCTGAAAATCAAGTTGTCCGACATACTGTTCTCCTTCCCATGACTGTCACAAGATTACCCCATGTAGCTTTAGCATCACACTGGCATGTCTTTCAACATCCTGAAAAATCCAAGTCATGCAAGGTGGTGAGAATTGAGAGGAGAATTAAGGAGAAGATTAAGAATGAAGGAGAAGCTCTGGCTTGGGCTTTGGCTTTGCTTAGGAAGGTGGACAGGAGTTCTACTGCATAGATGGCGAGAATCCGGAGAAAGGAGTGTGAGCAAGACAGGATTCTGGAATTGATGCTGCAGTTCATGATCTTCTAAGAAGTTGGCCTCATTCTATTTTATTCTGACACACCACACCAACAGATGATCCAGCAAATGGACTCTCTCAGAATTGGCTGCCCCTGGGGAGACACACTGAGACTTTTCCCACTTCCTCCTACCAAGAAAAGTTTTAGCACTCACAGAGTGTGTCTTGCATGACCTCACCATTCCTAACAAACAGGTTCAACACAAACCTAAGTGCTAATGGAAATTTACAGACATTTCACACAGCGTATAAAATCCTGCAAGTGTGGGCTCACATGCAGAGAACTCAACTGCCACCTGTCCACAGACAGGGATGCTTGCTTTATGAGCAGAGAAAGCCTGAACTGCACTTTGGAAGGAGGAGCAAGAATGCAGAAAGTCCATGGAGGGGGAAAGAGAAAAGGCACCCCAATAGGCAACTACGAAGCAGCCACGTGTAGTCACAGGATCTCAAGAGCAGGACTTATGTCGTTAATATTTGAAAACTACAACCTACCAGAATAAGTAGATTATTCCTTGAACTTGTATGTATTGACCCTAGGATAATGAGGAACTTCTGAAAGAACTTAAAATTCGGCTTTGGGGCCAGAGATATAGTGCAGCAGGTAAGGCGTTGGCTTTGCATGCAGCTGACTGGGTTTGTTCCCACCAGGAATAATTCCTGAATGCAGAGCCAGGAGTAACCTCTGAGCACCACCAGGTATGACCCCCAAAATGAAAATCTGCTTTGAACTAAGAATCTCCTCTGACTGATTTCACACAGAAAAATCAACACAATGTTAGAAGCAACTAGAACAACTTGGGAAAAATTGCAAAGTGCACATGGTAACCTCTAACATAAACTAAATAAACTGGCTATGAAATTTGTAACCGATTTCTATATAACCCTCCTAAGGCTGTTTCTCCAACTATTAAACAGATATAATAATGCCTCTGCACCTCTCTTATTGTGGAAACTAGATGAGGCAGCAGGTATAAAGCATCTCAGTACCTGATAAAAGCAGGCCCTTCAATGTTCAGCTCCGCTGTAACTATTAGGAGAAACTGGAATTAACATCACATTTAATTACACCTTTAGATTTGAAACATCTCAGAGATTCACTGTGGCAAGAATTCAATTTGTTCAATTCAATTTGTTCTTGCCACCCTAAGAGGCCTTTTCAACTATCCTGGCAGAGCTCAGGATTTTTCTCAACATCACTGACTGCTCAGAATAAAGAGAATCCCAAGTTGCTACCTCTCACAGGAGGAGCTTAATCAGTTAAACTTAGAGAAACTGAACTTAACAATTAGTCCAGGCATTTGGAACCAGTTGTACAAGGAATTCAAAGTACACCTAATTAAAACTCCTAACAAATCATTTTAATTATTCTATTTAACAGTGATTTCCTTCTGGAAAAAGTTTCCTTCCTAGATCTAAAAACAAGGCAACTGCAACAAATTTCTTTGCTGTTATTGAGCCCATGTAGTCTGTGTGGTCGACAGAAAGAAGTGTGCTACTCCTCACGGCTTCATAACTCATAGGCTTATGTTGCAGGTGGGTTAAATTTTCCTGTCGTTTTTATGCCATTTGGAAGCCTTCCACCCGACTTTAGAGTTCCGTGTTTCTGATAGGACAGTTTCTATTGCCCAGTGTCCTTTGTTTGTCCCTCTCGAAAGCGCAACATAATCACAAGTCCGCTTCTCGAGACCCCTCCCTGGCTGCGCTCCTGCAAGAAAATAGTCTGCCACCACACAAAAGCTCTTGCACTTGCTGATTAACTTCTTACCTAAAATGCACACTTCTGAAACAGGCGCAGGGCCACCCGACCGGGACATACTTTTCAAAGAGAGTGTCACTGCACGGGCCTGCGTGTGACTACGGGAAGGGACCTTAGTCCCCCCCGCAACCCCCCCCCCCCCCCCGAGCCTCACAGTGGCACAACTTCGAGTACACAGAGCAAACACAAGCAGAAAACCAGAGGGCACCGTGCCTTCCTCTCCCTGTATTCCTTTTCATAAGTTCCACCAGCGCAACTACCTGGCCACGGGGAACAGAAAGCACAGCTGTGGAGTAAACACGGTCATCCCGAAGCAGGGGCTGCACGTGTTCGCTTCGGGCGTGAAGCGCCGACCCCGCTCGCTCCCCTCCAGCTCCTCTGAAGTTTGGGGACCTCCCCGCTGCACGGGGGCTGGAGAAAGCGGGACGTCCCCCAAAGTTCGGGGCCCAAGTGTAAACACAAACGCGTGCCCTTGGGGAAACCTCCCCCAGAGCCCCTGACAATCCCCGACCCGAAAACCAGCGGATCCTGGGCCCTGGAAAGCCCCCGTTGCTGCGGCTCACCTGGCCCGCGACCCACGGCTGCCGCAGCTGCTCCTAGCGCCGTCTGTCGGGTGGAGGCGGAGAAAGAGAAAGCCGGCGCCGGGTTCAGGACGCAGCCGGGACCCCCGGAGTGTGCGCGGCGCAGCAGCAGCCCAGGGGGTGCATTCCTGCCGGGCGCGGCGGGCCGGGTCCCACGGCGGGGCGAGAGCCACCAGGGCCGGTCCCCGACTTCAGGATCCCCGGGAGCAACACTCACGGCCTCTCCGTCCCCGAGGCTGAGGCTGGGGAAAGTTCCTGGGGCGCCGAGTTCGCGCGCAGCTTGGGCGCGGGGGTGCGGGCGGAGAGACGCGGCGGGGGCGGCCCCCACTCCCCTCCCCGCCCGGGCTCGGGCTTCGGGTGCTTCCGCGCCGCCTCTGCAGCCCCGATCACCAGGTCACCACCCCGCGGCTCCCGCGGCCCCGCGCCCGCCCGGCCAGCAGGCGGGTCCTCCCGGCGGCGGGGCAGCTGCGCGGCGGACGCAAAGTCAAACGCCGAGACGCCGGCGGGGAGGCCGCGGGTGTGGCCGGCAGCAGAGGGTTTTTGGAATGCAGGGTGTGGCCCTCTAACAGAAAGGGGGGAAAAAAGGAGCGAGAGAGAAAGGAAAAAAAGAAATGAGTCACCCCGTGCAATCGTGACCAATAAGCGCGTTCACTGCTGGGTTAGGCGGAACCTTCCTTTCTTGATTTATATCAGGCTCGGGAGGCTTTTCTAGTCTTTTACTTTTTTTTTTTCCTTTTTGGAACTTCAGCTTTTAACAACGCTTAAAAAAGAGGGGGGTGGGGGTGGGGTAGGCGGCCTTAAAAAACACTCTTACAAACCAAAGCATGATCTTGTTATTTAAAGATACTGGCTCCGTGGATGTTCGTTCATTTCTTGGAGTAAAAGTTCTTGGATTAAGCAGTGACCCGCTCTGCATGGAGGCAAAGGCGGATTCAAACCAGGTCTGACATGGCAATGACATGGCAACAAGGGGAACTGAATGCCACCGAACAGTTTGCCAGGCAGATTATGTGTAATAATATAGACGCAAAGCCTCTGGCCACACAACACTCGATGTAAAGTAGCACGCAAGCATTGTTCTTCGAGTTCCAAAATCAAAGGCCCCCAAAGTTGCACATATTTTTAAAATCCTTTTAAGAGTAAAAATGGCCAAAAAATTGACATGGATTCTTCATGGTTTGTGCCTCTTAAGTAGCCAAAAAAAAAAAAAAACACACACAAACAAAACAAAAAAACCTGAAGAAACTTTTGATCTAGAATGTTTGGATGCACACAGACATACCACATACACAAAGCAACATTGGAATGATTTCAAGTCATAACTAAATCAACTTGAAACAAGAATAATATTGAATAGTCATTCTGAGTCACTATGCTCTTGCCCTAAATATTATTGGAGTAAAACAATATTTTTTCAAAAAATGACATATGGTTGGGAATAAGAAAATTATAGAACTTTAAGTTTATAACGAGCAGTCACAAAGCGAATAGGTTATCTGAGGGGGGAGAGAATTTTTGCAGAGGAATAATTATGTGTTAAGTTACAAAATTCAGGCTTTGGAGAACTCTTGGATTTAACTTCCTTGTATTTGTCCAGCATTTGTTATTCTAAAGGTAAGATTTCTTCAAAATACTAACTGGACAAAGATCTAAAGTAAGATCAAGGGCCTTTCGAGAATGGTACACTTTTCTTCAAACCAACAGGGAGGAGTAGGGCCCACCTCTGTCCTAATTGTAGCTCTGTGTATCAGTAGCCAGGTAATATCTCTCCTCTCTCTCTCTCTCTCTCTCTCTCTCTCTCTCTCTCTCTCTCTCTCTCTCTCTCTCATATTCTAGGTCAGGGACTTGCATACATTTCCTGGTCTGGTTCTTTTATTCTAGTAAATTAGTGCAAGACTTTATTTTTAAAGGTAGAGAAGGTAAATAAAAGAAGTTAGTACCCAATTAGGATAAAATTTTTAAGGAAAAGAGAAAGAAACAAAGACATTCCTATGAGCACAAGGAGTGAAAGGAAACCAAATCTGGCGATTTTAAATTGAAAACAAAATAAAGAATTTTCACTTAAAACATATTTTAAGGCAAATGCACAATATGTTTTGCACGAGCTGTTCACAAAATATTTCTATTTTCACCACCCCATGGATAGAATAAGATTAAAAATCATTGTCCTTGATGGCAATACTCTATACTCTATATGCTTCCGAAGAGTAATTGGGGGCTGGAGCAATAGCACAGCAGGTAGGGCGTCTGCCTTGCACGTGACCAGCCCAGGTTCAACCCCCAGCATCCCACATGGTCCCCCGAGCACCGTTAGGAGTAATTCCTGAGTGCAGAGCCAGGAAACCCCTGAGCATTGCCAGGTGTGACCCAAACTTTAAAAGAACAGTAATTGTATTTTCCAGACACTTCAAGTTCCATTTGGGAATCATCACAACGAGTCCTCTCCCCCTTTTCCCTTCTTCCTTCCTCCCTCTCTCCCTCCCCTCTCTCATTCACTTGAATCATCAGTGAGCACCATTTCACACTCCAGCCGCGCACCCAAAGCCATTCTGGACATTCACTGGCTTTTGCCAGGGCCACTGTGGCTGCATGTCTCCTGACTGCAATTACAGCTGCAGGTCCTGCCTCTGTGCTTCGAACGCTTCACCACTACATGACAAATGACACAAAGTCCAACCTGCCATCAAGTCATAAACCTTTCTGCTCTTTATCAATTAAATAATAATTTAATAGAAGAGATCAAAAGAGGACAGGAATAGAGTTGGCTTAGTGGCAGAGTACTTGCTTTGCATGTATGAGGCCACGGGTTCAATTCCCAACACTGCTCCATCTCTCAAGAACTGCCAGGTGTAGACCCCAAACTAAAATCAGTCAGCCAAAAAGGAGCAGGAAAGGAAAACACTCTATGGACAACTTTCCTCAAACCGTCCCATAAATCACTATTTTAAAAGTACGTTGATTTGGGGGGGGCAGAGAGACAGTACAGTGGGTAGATGTTTGCCCTGCACACAGCCGACCGGAGTTTGATACCCAGCACCCCATATGGTTCCTCCAGGAGTGATCTCTGAGTACAGAGCCAGGAGTAATCCCTGAGCACTGCTGGGCATACCCAAAATCAAAAAATAAATTACACTGATTTCCTACTTACAAAATTGTTCTAGTCTTCACTGAACAAGATGATACTATATTAGCTGCTACACCAAGAACAGCAGAATTTTGTATTATCATATATAAAAGTACACACATATATAACACGTCTTTATGTGTATGAACAATGCAATACATTTTCTAGCATGTGATCTGAAAAGTGCAGCTGTACATGTGTGTGCATACATATACAGAAATACTGAGATACATGAGAGAAGGGAAAGATATCACATACAGAAAAGAGAGGGATAATCTAATTGCTTCTATTGTCTATGGTCTAGTCAAGCTAAAAATTCTGAGTGGGTGCTCTCTTCCAGGAAAAAACGGACATTTACCTGCAATCTGAACTCAAAAGTACTTAAGTGATGTTTACAGGAATCCTTATGCTTCGGATCAAGTATGTAATTACCCAGTTGTTAGGATAGGGGTGTGTGTGTGTGTGTGTGTGTGTGTGTGTGTGTGTGTGTGTTTTAAAGAGGGGGAAGGGGGAAAACATGACTATTTCTAAGATATCTTTGTTGCCTAGAGATAAAATGCAAAATACAAAGATTCATTCCACAGTTTACTTCTTTATTTTGGCTTTGGGTCTTACCCGGCGATGTTCAGGGGTTACTCATGACTCTGTACTCACTACAGTTTAACACACTGCAACTTACTTATGCACAGATCCATTGCCATGATGTTCTGTTATTCAAAAGCTGGTTTCCATCCCCCCAGTGCCCTCATATTCACTTAAAAATTCATCTGCCCCATAACCCTAACTTGCTATTCCCCTAAGACAGAGGGCACACGACCACCTCCCCAGATGGGCTCATGCCTTCTATCTGGGACATCTCTTACCAGTTCCCACCCTCCAGTCCCACTCCGCCATCTCTCCCTTCCACTTTCCAACACTCTTCTCACTATCTCACACTATGGGGATTTCCCCTTTATGTCTCCATCTAAAACTGACTTACAGAACCTTAACATTGTCTTTCTTCTTGAGATCCCTGAAGGAGCAGATGACAAAAGTCCATTGACGTAGAGACTGTTCAAAGGCCTTACATACAACAGGAACAAATTCTGAAAAAGTAGTTATTGCTAATATAATTGGATTCATATATCATATATAGTATTTTATAGTTTATGTATTCATATACATTTCACATATGTGAATGTACAAATAGGAATTACCATAGTTATATTAAATTACCACATAAATACGGTAATTTCTGATGTATTATTTAAGTGTCTTTTTACTGAGTAAAAATACTGGGTAATTTCTGATGTATTATTTAAGTAACATAGAACCGAACTTGTCTTACATGTGGTCAACCTAGTTCAATTCCCAGCAACACATATGGTGAGCCCTACTCCGAATACTACAAGGAGCAACCCATGAGCACAGAGCCAGGAGAAGCTCCTAAGCACCGCTGGGTGTGGCCCTACCCCCTCACCACCAAGTTACATACGGCCAAAAGCCACAGATGTTTCTGATTGCTAAAACATCAAGAATAAACAAATATTATAGCTGTACAAACCAGCTGGCAAGCAGAACTCTAGCAGCAGATGTGTTTCTTTGCTCTTGACGACATGTTCCAATAATACAGAAGGCTACTACTGAGAAAGCAAATCTGATACTTCCTAAAAGGAAGTAGAGTTTACAAAAGAGTGTCCCCACATAAAATCTCAGTTCCTCAAACATGAACTCGCTGAAGAGAACAGAGGTGAGAAGATGTTCTACCTTCCCTATTAAATTAAGGAACACAGGAACACATAGTTGACAATCTGGTCCAAAACCTCATTTCCCCTTCAATTTACACATCTCTCTCAATTCATATTGGATAATCGAGAACATCTAACTGCTTACCTGAAAGTGTCTCAAAGGTCAGTTCTTCAAGTTGGCTGACTATTAGAACTACCATAAGCATCTATTTGTTTACATGGTTTAAAATCAAGTTATAAGACATTTGTGTTAGGACAAGTCTGTTTGAGAATATAAAATAAAAGAGCTGGATACTCCCCCACTCCGTTGCTTGCTCTTACTCGCTCTCACACGTGTATACACACGTACGCACGCACACACATATTCTTTAATTAATGCTAATATATGTCTGCTCTAATCAGTTGTGAATAAAAGAACTCATACCACTCTCCTCAAAGCCATGTCATAAAACACCTACCCTTCTATGCAATTATATTTATTATAATTACCTATAACAAAGACACAGAGTCTTAAATATTCCAAGGAGAAGCAATCAAAGTTATGAGTCAA